CAATATAAAATTAATTAATAATTATAAAGATAAATTTATAAACTTATTAGTATTAGGATTAATTAATAATAATAAAATTACTCCAGGGATCAGAATGCAACAAAAACAACGGATTAGGGATCATATTTAAATTAGGACATAAAAAATTTAAATTAGTGACCAAATTAAAAATAAACAGAAACTGAGCAGCAAAATAGAAATAAATTAAAAAAAAGTGAAACAGTGATCAGAATGTAAAAACAAGCTAAACCTAGAAGGAATAAAATGAGATTCTACCTAAAATTCTCAGTAAATTAAATATTAAACAATAAAAGATAAATCATGCAGTTAAGGCACAAACATTTGAAATAAAATAAACAAACACAAGACCAGGGACTATGGTGCAAAAACAAGGCAAATATTGGATGGCATAAACGCAAATAACTCAAAACTTATTACTAAAACATAAAGATGGGAAATAGCAAAATAGGGACATGAAAATTTGAATAAAAAGGAAATGGTGACCAAACTGCAAATAAACGACAAAAGTAGAGGGACCGTAAACTATTTTAACCCTAAACTTTAGTATTTAAACCCCTTTTTTGTTTTTGGCTCACTTCTAACCCTAGCCCAAAAAAAAACCTCTATCCGATGAGAGTACGGAAAGCCAAGATTAGAGATTACTGAGTCCGCTTTTGTACCACTGATGCGTGGCTCAACTAACACAACCATGTCTGGTAATCAAGTAGAAATTGTTTAGCCGCCATGAGGAAGCATGTATGACCGCATCCCTGGACATTCAAACAAAAAATTTTACAATCCATAAAAATGAGATAAGAGAGAGACGTATATTACTCCGTCATGGGCACGGATAAGTCTCCACCCGTGTCATGGTCTGCTACTTCGGTTGCATCAATAGCCTGCATGCAATTGCTTGTATTTGTGAGAGCAGTGGCCTGAGGTCCAATTTGGATAGGTGTGTTCTGATCTGGAGGTTCTCCCATCGGGGCATTCTGTCTAATAATTGAATTATTGGGGGCTTGAGGCGGTGCAGGAATGCAATTTGGGTCGGTGTTACTCATCGACAGTGATAGCCGAGTGTCGATCAGTGTTTAGGATAGGACCTTTGCGAGTTAGGGACTCAGTCTTCGAGCTGCTGGCTTTGTCCGTGCCTCGAGAGAGAGCTGGGAAGTCCGCAAGATTAATGGTTAGAGGTTTGCGGATAAAGGTGGCTCTCGGCTGCTTGGGTTTGGCAGCACCTTTCCCTTTGACAGCTCTCGTTTGTTTGGGAGCGACGGCTTCCGTCTCTATTGGCTGCTTGGAAGGGAGACTTTGTTGAGGACGGGCTGGAGATTTCTCATTTTCATGATCATTTTCCGGTTCAAAGATTGGATTAAACTGTGTCCCGCTGATTATATCATTCACGTTCGACTGCTGTCCTCTACTTTGCTTCTTAGTTTGGCGTCTTGGTCTACAGCATGCAACCATCCATGGACCGTATGAGTTGTCTTCTTCAGGTTTGTTGGGGGGATGCTGATCTGTTGCGGTAATTTCATGCATATTTTCTGCTGTTAGGGTAGGATAGTTATCACGGGAGTGTCTATACTTCCCACATTCAAAATAGATCGATGGAAGTGATTCATACTCTACTATCTGGAGTTTTCCGTTTAACAGCAGCTTGAAAATCAGAGGCTTTGAGAGATCTATACGAACAGCCATGCGGGCGAAACGACAACGTTTGCCCCATTCGGTTTGATAATCGAGTTTGATGACTGGTCCAATGGATTCCCCAATTTCGTTCATGATACTCCTCTTGTACAACGTTATTGGGAGGCCTGGCAGTCTGATCCAAGCCATTACCGTGTTCGGGAAGGGGTCGACGTGGTAAATTCCGGCGTCCACGGCTCTACCGTGAGATAGTGCCCAAAAATTGTCCACGGCTTGTCGGCAAGGGCGTGAAGGTAGTCAGCATGGGTTCGGAAAGTGACTAAGAAGTAATCGTTTTCGACGTCCATTAATTTGATTGCTTGTTTTGGCTTCCACATCTCATTGAGTTTGGTACGCAATGTGGTATATCTGATCCTTCGCCCCCTGGAGTTCAATCACATCTGTTTGTTCAAGACTGTATTCTGCTAGGGTTTGTATACGTTCAGAAAACTCAATTGATATGATGCCATCAACAACAGTTCGGGTAACATCAACTTCATGGATCTCGATGTCCTCTTCATCAAGAATCTCGTCCACGTCTTGCGGATCATCGTTCGGATTACTTATGAGAGAGTCTTTGTAGGATGGTTGCGGAGCAGAAGCATTCACATCGGGAACTACAGGCTTATGCATATTCGCAGGGAGGATGAAGAAAGGTTGGAGAACGGGCTCCTCTTCTGCAGAGGTCCCCCCTCGATCTGGGGGTCATCATCGAGCCGTCGGTGCTTCCTTGGCTGAGGGGGGATGGGGCTTCCATCAGCAGGAGAAAACATGCTAGGGTTTTTTCTTCAATAGGCTAAATGATTTTTTTTTTAATTGTTATTATGGCTCCTCGGTTTTCCTCTTCGTTGGTTTATTCATACTGACGTTGACTTTACATCGGATGAACTGAAGCGCCGGTAAAGAGGAGAGAGGAGTTTATTGTCTTCTACATCGTTTTTGTTGTTTTGGCGTTAGGATAAAAATGTAATTTCACTCTCTGGTATTTTGGGTATTTTATTAAAAAAGGAGAAGATAAAAGGCTTCTAATCTGATCTCAAAGCGCAAATACACCCAATGAGCTAAAATTCAAATGCTCGACAGGCCGTGTCGCATCTCGAATACACGTGTCATTATTTGAATGGTTAGATGAGATCCTAAAGGAGCACCGTGATGCCACGTCTGCAATCGTAACTGTTTCTAGAGAAACCGACCCTTGCCAAGACCAGCCCTCCTCACGCTCTATAAAAAATCCCTAATTTCTTCCCCCCAGGGAAAAAAAAAACAATAAGAAAGGAACCCTGATTAGCCGATCCCTGTTTCAAATCTTTCGAGAAATTGATAGCGAACATGTCGTCGTCAGGGAGGAAGATTACACTGAAGAGCTCGGACGGCGAATCGTTCGAGGTCGACGAAGCGGTGGCGTTGGAGTCGCAGACGATAAAGCACATGATCGAGGATGATTGTGCTGATAACGGGATACCGTTGCCTAATGTTACCAGTAAGATCCTGGCCAAGGTTATCGAGTACTGCAAAAAGCACGTCGAGGCGCCTAAGACCGACGATCGATCCGTCGATGACGAACTCAAGAGTTGGGATGCTGACTTTGTCAAAGTCGATCAAGCCACTCTTTTCGATCTCATTCTGGTCCGTCAGCCCCCTTTTTCCTTTCTCTTTTCCCGTGTTTTCTCTTTTTTGTTTATCTTTCATTGTTTCTGATGTTTCAATAATTTGCTACTATTCTGTTGGTTACTAGGCTAGGGTTTTAGAATTGAATTTAGGGGAAATAGTTAAAAATAGTTTATTTTGGGCCTATAATAATAGGGATCCGTTGCAGTTTTTGATGTGGTTGGCATGCGGCTGAATGCAAAGACAATTACGTTTCAATTTGTTTACATTAGTGATTTGTTGGTGTCTTGATTTTCTCAATGAATTAGAACATACCATCGTGTATCAATTCGTAGAGATGTCATGAATTAGAATACGCCATCGTCTATGCTTAGTATTGTTAGGGATATAAACAAAGTTTTGCTACTTATTTGTATAAGCAAAGTAATATTCCTGGTATAATTATAATGTTTTTGCTTGGTTGTCACAATTAAACAATGCTCTTGTTTCACTTTAGAAGCAGAAACCTAATTTGTGATTTTCATTGGATGAAAAAGTTTGATTCCATATCAATTCCTGGTTTTAACAAAAGCAAGAAACATAGCATGGAAATTGATATTTCGATATTGTGTTTGGAGTTGCGCATATGTTTGCAGTTAACCAATAAGAAATCGAAAATCGTTGTTCCTGCTTTCTGTGAAAATTATATGTATTTCTGCAGGCTGCCAACTATTTGAACATCAAGGGTTTGCTGGATCTTACTTGTCAAACTGTTGCCGACATGATCAAGGGGAAGACTCCGGAAGAGATCAGGAAGACATTCAACATCAAGAATGACTTCACCCCTGAAGAGGAAGAAGAGGTTCGTAGGGAGAATCAGTGGGCATTCGAATGAAGTTTCGGCTTTTCCGATGACTGTTCGTTCGATTGTATCAAACTTATCTATAAAATGTATTCTATTGATGTGACTTTCATCTGTACTTTCGTATGTTTTGTGAGCACTTTAAACTCTTCAAAGTGTCGTCTAAGTTCCTACATGTCTTGAAACTTCACCAAACAAGTCTGTAATGCCCCTTGGATCATGGTTTATGATATGAATGAGAATGGTTTGTCTATATTGCGTTTGTCCTAAGGATTTTGGTTGTTTTGCTTTTATATTAATCATGTCATTTCATAATCCAGGTGTTACCATCCATAGCTATATATATGCCTTTTTTTTCAATTTGTCCTACCATAGTAGCTTCCATAATCCATACTGTCGATCATCTTTATTTTGGTGTGATTGCACAAGAAATTTTGACTTTTCTTTTTCCCTAATGGAATATGTATAGAACTTTGATTTCGATTTAATAAACACAAAACGGTACAATATCAATACTGAGAACAAAATAAAAATGCTATATTAGATTATATTTAAGTTTATAAATGACATTGTACATTGAAAGAAAGTTGTCGAGTAATCTTAACGAGGAATTGTAAGTTTAGACAGTCATTGTTTTGTCGAAGGGTAACTTTTGCACTCTTTGTGAAGAGGAGTTGTTGAACTTGGGTGAAATAGCATTTTTGTATCAATGGGAAACATGTTATTCAAGTGAAAACACACAATGAACTGGCAAAATATTGTCGACCAATAGTAAACTAGCTTTCAGCAAGCTTAGCATCCTTTTGCTCCACACTCTCCCTCCATTGTTCACCTACTCTTAAATTATGATCAATGTCTTTCAAATCTACAAGATTACACCCAGCAACTCTATCCCCCTATCCTTCATCAACTGTTTTACTCTGGCAGCATCCTCCCATTGCCCTGCCACACCATACACATTCATCAATAACTGATAATATGATAAGTTTTTAGGCTCTTTTTCGATCAAAGATGTTGCTATTCTTTCCCCAAATGTCGCACCTTCCCTAAATCGACACGAGATGAGCAAGTTAGCCCAGAGCACAGAATCAGATGATAAATCCTCAACACAATCCGACATTTGCCTTAGGATCTCCTCCGCCTCTCGGGAAAGTTCGGCACCTACATAAATATTTGCCATGCACCAATAATGTGCAAAGTTTGGCTTTATAACAAATTTGTTCTTCATTTGGCTGAAATAGTTTCTGCCTTCTGTTACCAATCTCGCCCAAGCACAATCACTCAGAACACCGACGAAAGAAATTTCATCAGGAGAAATGCCCTCTTCTCCTCCAACCTTGCATCGATCAACCGTATCTGTGAATAATTCTAGACCATCTGCCGGATTACCATGAATGCAATGCCCCAAAATTATGGCATTCCAGCAAACTTGATTCCTATATCTAATCTTATCAAACATCCTACGAGCTAATCCTACTCTCTAGCAGTTACAATACAAATTAACTGTGAGAAAGCAGCCATGGAAGTTGAGACGATTGTATGAGTTGAAGAATGAAGATACAGGAAAATAAGAAAGTGAAAGAGGAAAGCACTGAAGATACTTTTATTTTAAATGACTTGTATGAATTACAAACTAAACTTGGGTATTTTATAGCCCAAATATAACAACCTAATAACAACTCAAAACAGATTTAACAAACTAATAACTAATTACAACTTATTTCTAACATTCTCTCTACTTTCTCAACCCTCTTGAGCTTTAGAACTTGACTCGTTTCTCCACTTGGTTGGTTCAACATTCTCCAAACTGCTATTCTGTTCTTTCCAAAATTCTTTCAAAATTCATTTTCCCTTAACTAGGCGGTCTATCAAGAATCGAAAGTATTATTCTTTCTTTCGTTCTACTTACTCACCTTCCTTTTCTTTTTCTAAAAGAAAAATTTTCATCCAGAATTTCTTCAAAACTTTTTTTCTCTCTTTAGGACTGTACCTCTTCTCACTTATTGGAATTTCTTTTTGTTGGAAGCAAGGCGGTTAAGCTTCGAGCTCCCGGATGCAATCTGAAGCCTCTCTTGGGCAAGAAAACACCGTATTTTGTCTGGTTAAGGAAGCCAAGGCTGTTAAACTCTTAACCCTCCCCAGAGATTTTCAGTCATGAACACTTGGCTGTGAAGCTTTCAAGTCTCATATTACCTTGTGATAGAAGCATCATACCATGAAGAAACTATAACAAAGAGTTCTTGAGCAAACAAACCAGTAATGCCCAATTGGAGTAAGAAACTAATACTCATATAACTCGGCAAATCACAAGTCTCGCTCAACCAATTGATGCCATACTCAAAACAATTATGAGAGAATGAACCAAGTGCAGTCGTGAAACAAAGCAATCAAATATCAATGTGAATTAAACTGAAAAACAAATCTGATACTTAAAAACAGCAGCACTATTCTATGTAGCATACCCTTCTCTACTCTCATGATCAACATTGACTTCCAGTAGCAACCAGAAATTGTTGCTTCCTTGGGGGGAATTGTGCAAACAACTAAGACAAATAGACGAGCCTCTTGAATCATTGGAAGCTATTCTAAGCGGCTCAGAGTCCAAAAATGGACCAAGATGGGATATAACCGAGGGAGAAGAAAAGCATCTCTTTGTAGCAAACAATCAAGAAGATGGTAGGCACAAACTGTTAAGATAACACTTAAACAAATTCATGGTGAAATTGCAGCAATCGTGAAAAAAAACAGAAAAGAACATCCTCCGAGAGCATATGAGATGGAATCATCAAAGGCATGAACACATATATGAATCAACGATCGCCATAGACAATTGATTGATGGGGCAGTAACTGAAACAATAGACATCGGCACATCAAGGAATGAACGATCACAACAAACAAATGGAGATATAATGGACACGATGAACAGACAAGACAATGATAGATCTGAATAAGCGAGCAATTTGTAGCAGTGACGGCCAAGGTATCAACAACAACAAGATTCAATCGTGGCGCAACTACGGAAGAGAAAACGACGCCAGGATCTTTTAGCTCTGATACCATGTGAGAAAGCAGCCATGGAAGTTAAGACGATTGTATGAGTTGAAGAATGAAGATACAGGAAAATAAGAAAGTGAAAGAGGAAAGCACTGAAGATACTTTTATTGTAAATGACTTGTATGAATTACAAACTAAACTTGGGTATTTTATAGCCCAAATATAACAACCTAATAACAACTCAAAACAAATTTAACAAACTAATAACTAATTACAACTTATTTCTAACATTAACCAAAGCTGTATCAATTATAATATTCGACTTCATGCCATTCTTGATTAAAAATTCGTGAACGGATCTCCCTTCCTTTAATCTAGCCGACTTAGAACAGACACTAAGCACACTAGCCACAGTCTTCTCATTCCCCATAAATCCAGTTCCCAAGCACACTAGCCACAGTCTTCTCATTCCCCATAAATCCAGTTCCCACCATTTGTCTAAATAACTTCAATGAACACCCCCGGATTCCCAGCTTTTAAATAACCCTTAATCATAATATTGCAAGAAATCACATTCTTTTCTGGCATTCTATCAAACAAGTTGTGAGCCAGATCCAAATTCCAAATTTTAGCATACGCATCAATGAAAGAGTTCCAAGAGGCAATATCCCTTCGAGACATTTCAAGGAACACTTTATTAGCAAACTCAAGAATCCCACAACAACCATACGTATGAATCAAGCAGTTGCATACAGGCAAATTATCAACGACCCCAAATTTAATTGCCTGGCCGTGACACTTTCGGGCAGATTTAGAACAATCCATTTTCGAACAAGAGCTTAAAAGTGGCACAAAAGTATAACTGTTTCGAACAAAGCACCCATGAGCTCGCATCTGGAAATAAAAAACCACAGCTTGATGGGGCAAAGAACTAAAACAGTAAGCTTTGATAACCGAATTAACACGGAAAGTACCAGGATCCCCAATGCACGGGAAGATCGAAACGGTATAATCCCAACTTTAAGGAATGCATCAAAACCCTGTCCACCCAAAAAGGGTTTTGGAAGAGACCCAAAGTAATCAAGTGAGCTTGGATTTGAAACAGTTTCTTTATATCTGGACACGAATCGAGAATCGAAAGGGTTGTTGGGAGGGAAACGTGCTTGCTCTCGACTCGGTAGAATAAAACGGCGATGGAAATCGGTGATTGGGTTTTGTGGAGAGAAGAGGAGAGTTGGGTTAGCGAAGATGGTGTATCTGAAACGGAGGAGTTCACGAATGGACATTCTTGCCATTCATTTGGGACTTTGTTTTGATGCTTTCTCCTCCAACTCAATTCGATTGCCGCCATTGAAGCATGTTACTGAAGGTCAAAAGGAGAAGCCTGTAGCAGAGGAAAGAGTAGAGAGTGAGAGACATTCTTCAAAATTGTTGTTCCTGGTTAGCAAATTAGGGATCGTTCTATGTAGCCTCAAGCCCGGAACTTGGGTCCAGCAAACACAGAAAATAATGGGTTTCTTTAACAAAATGCCCCATCTTGAATGAATGTCTCAGTTGAGTTGATTTTACATCAGTTGAATTTGAGTCGAATTAATTTATATTTTATTTTTTTATTAATTTAAATTCAAATTAATTTTATATTAAAATTACTTTGAGTTCGAATAACTTTTTTATTTTAATTTATTTTTACTCATCAAATGTGCAATTCTCTTTGGTTTGGGGGAGAATTGATCTTGATGTCAAGATTTGATTGTCTGTTTAGGAATGGAACTATAATTGTATAAATTATATATGAAATGACCAGTGGTACATTATATTATCTTTTAGGGGATTGAACTATATTTGTTAAATTGATCGTACAAACTATATATTCATGTTCCATGTTTGTTGATGAGAACAAGTTGTGTACCGGTTGTTGATGATACACCTCTTTTGGTTTGGATGAAGGATTATACCCAATGAGAAAATGACCTTTGACCAATATTTTTGTGGAGAAGAGAGTGGATCATGAGGAAGAAGACGATGAAAGAGACTATTGAGGTTGCAGAGATTTAGCCCCATTATAGTCTCGATTGAGGTATTTATAGTGGTCGTTAATGTGTGTTAGTCATAGGGTCATGAACTCATGATAGCTATTCATAGATTGATTAGTCTACAAAGATCTGGTGGCCATACTTCAAATTTCGTTATGGCGCATCTTATGGACTTATCAGATGTCTTCTCCATGTGTTGTAGTTAATCAAACATGTGTTTAGAGGATGTAGGCTAGTCGAAGACTCTGGTGAACATAGAAAATTTCAGAAACCATCTCGAGAGGTATAACAATATTCATATTATATTGTTTATCATATTATATATATATATTTTTCATAAATCCTTTTATTGATCTCAAATTTAATTATAATTTATATAAATTCATTTGGAAGAAACATTCAAATACAAAATATTTAAATAATAACTATTATAATTAAATTAGAAAAAATATATTATACTTAGAGGATTGTTTTGATTATTAAACTTTCAAAATCAAATTATCATTAAATTAATAAAATATTACACAAGTGATCATTAAATTTAAGCATAATGATAAAATTAGCTCATAACGTACAAATAGTCCGAGATTATTATAATATAATATTTATTCATAATTTTTCTTAACTATTAATAATATTTATACATTTTACAAACACAACTGTTTAAATCTATAACGTCTAGAGAGAAAGATATTCTTTTTAATTATTAAAATCACTTGAAAACTTTTCGTAATAATTCTGAATGGGTTCTTAAATGTATGTAATTAAGTTATGGGTAAAATATAAAAATAGTTCATGAATTTTTATAGCACTTGCATTTTGGTCACTGCACTTTTGAAACTTATAATACAATCATTGAACTTTCAATTCGTTTTCATTTTTGTCCCTGCCGTTAACTCCTATTAGTTTTTGCTGATGTGGCATTAACTGCCGTTAACCCACCCCCATCTTCTTCTTCAGGTTAATTTTTTCTTCTTTTTCTCCTGTTTATTTCTTCTTCTCCAGGTTACTTCTTCTTCTTCTTTAAACGAGCAGGAAAGCTCTTGTGTAAGTTTGGATGAAGTCTCACTAGAAGCAACTAGATTTCTGCAGCTTCAACAAGTCATGGAAAAGGTATAGTAGATGAAAAGATTTTGTGGTGTGCATATTTGCATGTTACTTACAGATAATGACTAATTTTGGACCTCCATTTTCGCCACTGACCACTAATTTTTGGCAATGAGATATTTAATACGAAGGTAGCTTATACGTCATTGTTGTCTGAAGAATGGTTTCTATAGATGCATGGCTAACACCAATTGAGAAAAGCAAACCCTGATTCATTTCCATCAATTCTCCAAGCTTCTCTTCATTAGCGGATAAACATAGATCATCCACGGCATGCGACTGGATGATGGTAGACCATTCATCACTGATAGCTTCGATGGCATTTAACACGGAACACATGACATCGGGATGCCTGGATTTCCAAGTTGAAACACTAGCAACCAACGCCTTTGTATCACTCCCGAATTTGGCTACGAAACACAAACTCGTAACAAAGTCTGTCGCAATCTATAGCTTCAACGACAAGAAATTCCACGGTAAGGAGGCCTTTAAAAGGTATTTGGCTGAAAATGGAAGTGCTCTCGAAGAACTTGTGACGAAACTTAGAGAAAAGCTACTTGATGGTGAGAGCAAAAAGGAAAGTCAAACAGATCTCTCCGATGATAATGCATCAAAAGAAACGATTTCATTTGATACTACCGATGAAGAAGCTGTCGCCGCCATTGAAGCTTAAGCATGTTGATAATTCGGACTGTAATTGTTTTCTCAAGTTATCTCTTCGGATCAGCCCTTAGTATGTTTTTGATTCAGTGGATACAAATATGGAAGGAATTTGAAGGTCCTCTGATTCATTGCCATTTTTGACCCCTTGTTAAAGTTAATATTAGGGGTTCGGATTGAGAGCATTGTAACTCGAGCATTGTAGCTCGGATGGAGAGATACAAGAAGTAAATCGGAGAAATAACCCCGGAGAAGAAGATTGGGGGAGGTTTTAACGGCAGTTAATGTCATGTCAACAAAAAATAGCAGGGTTAACGGCAAGGACAAAAATGAAAACATATTACAAATTTGATGACTGTATTGTAAGTTTCAAAAGTTGAGTGACCAAACTGCAAGCGCTCTAAAATTTCAGGAATTATTTTTATATTTTACCATTAAGTTATTTATATTTTATCCAAAAATATATAATTGAAACCACAAGTCTAAAAATAATCATATTTCCAGCACCTTTCGAGGTTAGTCTAGACATAATTTGAAGGATATATATGACATAAGTATACGGTTTCGTTGGTGAGCACAGATAGAAATTAGGGTAAAGTATACAAATGATCCTCCGATTATATGATATTATTTTATTGAGTCCCTTTATTATTAAATGTTATAAAATGATCTCTCGATTATAGGGAGTTGCTTTGTTGAGTTCATCGACTATTAAATGTTACAAAATAGTCACTCAACTATTCATTATGTTCCAAATTCATCCTTTTCCGTTAAAAAATTAACAGTCGTTTGAGCTGGACGTTAAAATGTTAACTGAGATATGATAGTCATTTGAGATTATGAAATCATATTTTATCATATCTCAGTCAGTAGGTTAACATACAACTCTGACTGTAGTTAAAATTTTAACGGAAAATGATGAGTTTGGAATATAATATAGTCAAGTGACCATTTTGTAATTTTTAATAGTCAAGAAACTCAACAAAACAACTCCTTGTAATTTAGGGATCATTTTGTAACATTTAATAGTCAAGGGACTTAATAAAATAGTATTCTATAGTTGAGGACCATTTGTATACTTTACCCTAGAAATTATTGACTAATTTACAAAGACACGTCATTCTTAAGCCTCGACTATTTTGCAAGTATACGATTTCTTTTTGTTAATTTTACTTGAATTATATAAATATATACGAAAAAAATTCATTAATTCAACTAAAATGGTAGTAAATGAATACAATAGAACAATTGTATAATTTTAAATTATTAAATGATTTATAACAAAATAATATATTTCATAATTCATAACTCTGACTATCGGAGGCCTTCCACGGAAGCTGTTCTCAACCTGGCGTTGGGGGCAGCATACTATCCTACCTCCTCTCACCCTATTACATATGGAAATAGGGTTAACTGTATAATTGTAATATTATAATTTAGTGATATTAGCGTGAACGAATGTTGATACACGTCGTTTGGATTCAGGAATCTCCGATTATATGGTTAAGTTTAAATTCTACTACTGTCACTCTTGATGAAAAATCTATAAATTCTTATGTAAATCTCGATTGAATCTTAATTATATCATAACCATGATCTGGGAAATCACCCTTAATCTAAACTTTATTGTAAAAGATACGTAGTAAAATTTTGTATTAGAAATGGACACAATAAATACGATACGGAGTACCATATCTTAGATTCTGTGACAAAAAAGCAGAGTACGATGACATCAGTGGGTTGATGGACTATTCAGTGGGAAAAACAATGCTCAACTATTTACCTGGGGGCACCGGTTCTTTTGAAAGATGAGAGGATAAGAAGGTAGTCACGGAGCGAGTGAGCGAGTGGTCACAAACGCATCGTATTTGCCACTACTAGTACTATTAACTTTTGGTTTGATCCCCCTAATTGCACTTTTAATACAAGTAGATCCCTCTTTGAGTGGAAAACTAACAAAGAAATTAGTAGGAGGACTTGATGAACAAAAGTTGAAGAGTCTTTTAAGGAAAAGAAACAAGCCAAGTGGGGAAGCAAACAAAGACCCATATACATACGAGGAAAATGCAAAAAAATAAAAATAAAAACAAAAGCAATGATCCCCCAACAGTCATACTTGTTGCCCAAAATATACTTGTTTTTGCACCGGTTAGCAGTAAACGATCACCTCTTCACCCACACTTGAAATAGCCCTTCCTTCCCTCCCATGTACTCGTTTCCTTTTCTAGCTCCCCCTGGCTGCTGAAAAAGAGGGGCTTTGGTTAACAAAGAAGGCCGAGATTTTCAGTTTGCTCAAAATGGAGCTGTCGACGTTCGCTGAAGCGTGTGCTTTCTGGAGAATTGAGCGGCGGCTGCTACGCGTAACTGCATAATCACGAAGGGGTTTCTTTCATTGGGTTGGTCTTACTCTTGGTCTTTCGGCTAATGAAATCAAATTTGCTTGTTTTTTACCTGTTCTTGCTGTTTCCTGAGTTTTGCATTCTCTTCCATAAGATGAGCAACTTCAAGCTCTAACTCAGTTGTGTAAGCCTGCAAGGGAAAAAAATAAGGAATTTAAAGAGTGCTGCACCTGCATATATCTAGTGGAAAATATTTTTTGAGTGTTTTGAGGTAATGAAAACCTGTTTCCTAGCTCTTGATCGTGCAGCGGACTCTCGGTTCTTGATCATCCTCTTGTGCCGTCGATCACCATTACCGTTATCATCTTCCTGGACCCTTTTCCTACCGAAGGAGGCCAAGCTGGAAGAAGGAGCCAAAGCCTCGAACGGACAATTGAAAGCGTGGACAGTCGAGATGGGGCCGCTTTGCACACGCGAGCTAGACCTGATAGGATCCACGCTATCTAGGAAATCGAAGCCGGGACCCGAATTCAGGCTCAAAACAGTGGCGGGAGGCGGCCGAGGAGAACCATACAGCATGGTGTTGGCCTCCCTATTAGTGGGAGGGACCTCATTGGTAAGAGGCCTGGCGAGAAAATCCTGGAGGACAATGTGAGGATTGGAGCTAACCGAGAAGGCTTCCCTGGAAGAGTGGTCGTGTAAAGAAGCGAGGTTAATTTCGTTCCACACTTCTTCCATGGTTCTGGGTCGATGGGAAGAAGAGGCAGCAGAGACCTCGTTTAGGCCTAGCGTTGGTGCTTTGTTGTTATAGTTGGTTTCGTCCCACATCGGTGAGTGAATATGCTATACCGACTATTAGAGGGAGGGAGAGAGGGGGAGGGTTCGTGTTTGGTAGTGTAGTGTAGTGTAGTGTAGTGGGAAATGAAAGGAATTTTGGATGTGCTCCAATGGCAATGGGCGATACTTTTTGTTGTGATTGGTGGTCATTATTCATTCAAGGGGAAAGGTGAGTGCATTTGAGCCACGCGCTCCTTTGGCAGAACTGTTTGGTATATATATATATCAACATATATTATAAGTAACACACACGAGGAAAAGAGAAAAGAAAAGAAAATGTCACATCCCATCATTAACTGCAAAAGCTTAGAGCCTCGAGTAAAATGTAATGACTCGCCCCCAGTCTACTTTGTGGATCTATCTTAGGCTCGAAAAACTCTTAAACCAGGCTGTTTTTAATGGCCATTTACCAACATTTCTGATGAATTTGACTATAAAAAACGTATGCTGGCGGTGGAAGCAATTGACCAGAAAAAGATACTGAGAATCAACACCATGTCCAGTTCGATCCGTTCATTAAATTACATGGATTGAAATAACCACATTGCATGTTCATTAACATACTTGGTGAACATTAAGTGAAGTGCTGTCAACTGTTGCAATCTCTTTTCACCATCTTTCACAAGTTGTACTGCCTGCAACAACCAAGTTAAAAAAAAAAACCCTCATCACTCCAAACCGTACCCAGCAGCAGCAGCACCATCCCTGCCATGCATTGTCTGGCATTCCAACTACAAGCATAAATGAGTCGAGATTCGGGTTTGTCCAAAACCATTTTTTGAGATGAAAAAACTTGGTTGAGAAGTTTTGATTTGAAGTGCAGCAGGTACAACAAAGTTAAAGGTAATAGGAAAGATTGAATCCAGCACACGATTCAAGTACGTAGATGTGGAGATTTTGAATGGTATGGGGGAGTCTGGATTTGATGGAGACTGGTCTACTGCTTTCTAAATTTGAGTTCCCAGAGAGAGGTTATCAATCATATTCTGAATCTTCTTCTGGTGAAGGGTGATTGTCCCAGGTGGAATGAATGATAAACCGTTGGTTGTTCCCATTCAACAACAAATGACAAATAGCCCGTGTGGGGGCATGCAACAGTAGTAGACAAATAACCCGAAAGCAAAGGAAAAGAGAGGAGCCTTGCCTTTGAATGGGAACCCAGTTCTCCACGTTCAAACAGTTTTTTTCCATATCATTGGGGCTGTTGTTTCATGTGCCTTCAGCCACTTCCAGTTCCACCTCTTCTTGCGTTTTTGCCATATCTGTCATCTCCCACACAAATCGGGTAAATCTTGCTTGAATAATTCATCTCTTCTTTTCCCAGATCAAAACCATTACACTCGTCCCTAAAGGAATAAATATGATGCTCTACCACGCCCTAACTTTTTCATAAACCAATTTGTCTGTTTGATAACTCATTTAAACACATGTACTAGTAATATAGAATGTACCTTTCTTTCATAAAGATAACACAACATCGTATTTTCCATTGTCCATTATTAATAATATCACCAAACTTTTGATGCTAAAAAAGACTCGTGTAAAATAGAATGTTGATATTCTTATAAATCTTAGACTCGAACAATCGTATCTACATCTACGTTATTAATTAACTAAATTTTTTTTAAATAAATATTTCTTTATTAATTAACATTTCACTCTCCATTCAGTTTCTGCGATGGGTTGAATAGCTATTACGGGAGGCTAGTCGTACATCATACTCTAGCCACTACACAATCTACCACATGAGAATTAATGCTCTGTTATAATTAATAGTTATACGTTCATCGTTTAATTTTTTTTTATTTTACTCAATGAACTTTAACATTATTCATTGTTCTTATTTTAGTCATTTTACAGTTGAATAATTAATGATATTATGACAAAACACACAACATCACACCATCAAAATAACGTGATTTTATATCTTTAAAAGAATTGAAATTTAAATCGTAATTTTACATCTCTAAAAAATGAAATTTAAATCAAAACGATATGGTTTTGGTATAAATTTTAAAAAAATATTTCTTTCCTTCATCATATCCCTTTTCTTCTTCTTTTTCTCCCTCTTCCCATTTTTCTCCATTTTCTGCGATCAACATGAACGAACGCAAATCTCATTTCTCTCCATTTTCCGCCTCCATTTTCTTTTGACTCCGCTTTCATTCAACCATCAGAATTTTCTTCGACGTCAGTTTCTTTGTCTCTAATATTTATCTTTTCTCTCACTCTCCTCCTCCTACGACTTCCTCCTCTGATTTTTCTCATTTGTCCAAAGCTTTTTGAGTTAAACCCCCTTAAGAATCTGTCATCTTTAACCCCCAAAGGCTCACAACTTTACATCTCTTCCTTCAATTTGGTCTTTACCAAAAGAGAGCCCTCACCCATCCCTTAAATCAATCAAAATTTGGAAATTAAAAAACCTGGTCTAGACCCTTAAAACCCAAGCTTTGATCTCAACTTCCATTTCCCTTATCTTTTCGGCCTTTGAAATACTCAATACCCACAGTCCCAAATTTGGTCTTTACCCTCATAGCCCAATCAACGAGAGCATAGAGATGATGTTGGGACGAAGCAGAAAGGTCGGAACTCATAAAAGTTTCGATAATCAATGTTGTTGGGATTGGGGGTGAAGAGATAAGGAGGGGGAGAAATAGTGGAGAAATTTTGAGCCGTGACGGCAGAGAAGATGAATTGGCAGGTTCTATACAGCGTGTGGAATAAAATATAAGAACTTTTATTTTTATTTTAAATATTATGTCATAATTAAATATTAATAAATATATATCATCTTGATATACTAAAAAAAACCACATCATTAGGCTGTTACAAATTTAAAGATCAAGTGAACAAAATAATTCAATCTATAGAGTCTAGTAAGTAAAATAAAAAAATTAAAAGTTGAATGAGCAATTAAGAGAGAGAGTAAAATTGAAAGAAGTACGGTGTAATTTATCCTAAATAATAATAGGCTATTATTATTGCGAGAGACGGTCAAAGCTCCAAAACACAGAACCATACATGCAACAAGATCCATTTGTAGGATGGTTGTTTTCAAAGGTTTTTCCCACAAATGACGGACAAACTTCATGAAGCAAAAGAGAAAGTAGTTAATATAACGATAATAGTAGCATTGATAAGTACATATATAATTTGAAGTGTAGTTCTTGGTAAAAATGATATGCGCCTCGAGAAGACAGAGAAAAAGCATATGTAGGCATGAATAGCACCAGTAGCTGCTGCTGCTGCAGAGGCCATTCAACTTACAGCGCCACAATTATGCAGGCATTTACTTCATTCCCCGTGCAAACCCAAGGGTATCAAAACCACCCCCGAGGTTTTTTTTTTTTTAAATAAAGATTCCCCAGGATTTAAACACCAACACCAAATAGTAAAGGAAAAATCCAACATCCTCATAAAACCCAAAAGAAAACATTTTTGGTAAGTCACAATAAACTTCGTGCTACTACTAGCTCAAGTCTGTCGGTTCACTTTTTGTTACCCTTTTCCAAAAGGTGTTTTCCTTCTCTTCTTGTAAAGGTTTTTCTCTAATTTGCTGTACGAGAAATTGTATTTCATCGCAACAAAGGCATAATGATGACCCCATGGTGTCAAAATCATTCTCTACTCTATTCTTCCAGGAACAACTCTAGCATCGGCAAATTTCCGCTTAATTTGAATTATTTGCTGGACCAACTTGAGCACCGATGGCACTTCCCCCGCTGTTATATAGCTCTGGCTGGTTAACAAAGTCCACAAATGATGATCTACCTGATAGCCCACCATCATTAGAATCTTCTTGGCTCATTGCACCACTCTGGTTTGTATTACTCTGATCCAGTGAAATATTCTGAACACAAGCCACCAGCGTATCCTGACCAGATATGGTAGGGAATTGAACAGAAGGTGGCATTATCCACTGCATCCAATTGTTCCTCTTCCTTACTTTATCACCCTAAAATGTGAAAGTAAGGTGATCAAGGTACCTCTCTAGATATATGTTCTAACAAAAACATCAATTAAACATCAACAATAAGAGGCATGAATGTCTTGATGGTCAACATGACCAGAATTTCATTATAGATCACACACATATATATCCCAGGATTATCAATATAGAACGTACCAGTACTTCAACAACTGTTGAACTTTGCAGAGCATCCGTTATAAGCTGACTATTATCTGTCAATAGTGTAACCTGAAAACGGGAAGCATAAAAAATGTTGCCTTTGAAAAGCAAGCTTTAAAGTATATGCTTTCCAAGAAGCAAAATCACAATACAAGCTTATCCAACAGCTAAGCTTCTGAACCATTGTTGTCAACAGCATAAGACGCACTCTAGACACTCGAGCCCTAATACTGCCCAAGGCAAAATGAGCAAAAATGCAGTTTTTTGGTTGAAGTGTACTATCTAGTATGAACGAAAAATAAGCACAAGATTTATAATTATGATCATAAACTCTAAAGACTGATCTATTATATCTACAAAACATGCCAAATTATCTTTTAATCATGTTGGTCAATAAGCATGATTTTCTCCTTGTCCCATGTCTGTTATAGTATATTCAAATGTTGAGAAGTTTGGTATTATATTTATACCCTTTCTTAATAGCAAGAACTTCAATCATGCGGACATTTTTATGGTTATTGCCTTACAAAAAAGGCATGCACAGGTGCATCAAATCAAATGTGTCTTGTGTCTAATGCGCTTTTGTTATTCGACAAAAAGGCAGAATGTCAAGAAGTGATGTTCACTCACTGCCTGACCTGAAAAGAAACGAGGACATAATCACAAAAGTTTTGACTCCCAAAGGATGACGGTAGATCACTATTATATATGGACTAATGTCTCTAGAAAGCGATGCTAACTATTTAAGCGGGGAAAAAACCCAAGGAAACCTGTTCGTGCACTGCGTTAAAATACATTTGACTTGTTTCCAGAACACCACACGCCTTTGGGAAAAGGTTAAAATGTTATATGAGCATTCCAATAAAACTTAAGTCATAATATGAAACATTGGAAAGAGTTATTAACATTTATGACAAAAAGCTAAGATTGCACAAAATTAGTTTTGATGTCATGCAAGCCAAGGCGATAAACGATTAAAAAGATTCATCTCTTGCAATTTATTGAGAAGTTAAAAGAGTTGGAACAAGATTTACATGTGATTTTTATCTACAAGGAGAAAACTTATGATAGTACCTAGAGACATTTTTTATGGGCATTGGACAAGAATACAACCCATCTCAAATTTACTCATATGACAAAGATAAGAACTTGTTATTTAGAGGATATTTATGAGAGCACTTAGAGGAATCATTTTATATGTTTTGAACAAGAACACGGCTAAATATGTTAGTGTACCGTGGTATGTATGAAGGAGTAATTATGAAGATGAGAACTTGTGGTTGATTAAAAGATGAATTGCCAATTACAATATGGGTACAACAAAGATCAACATCAATTCCTTTTCTTTTTGCTAGAATAATGGATAAGATAACGAAAGAAATTCAAGATGAAATACTGGTGTATGCTATCTGCAGACAATATTTTATTGTTTGGTGAAACAGAAGGGTTTAATATAAAATCAGATTCGTTGAGACAAGCACTAAAGTTCAGAGTGTAGATTGTGCAGAACAAAACCAAGTAAACGATACGCACATCTTGTAATATATGGATGGTATTCAAGACTTGATCACACTAAAATGGTAAGTGATGGTGGTAGCAGAGTGCTTTAAATGACTTGGGGTGATGATTTAGAAAGTACAGAGACTAATGGAAATGTTACTCATAGGATCAAGGTTGGGTTATTATCTTTTGAACAAAAAAGGGACCAAGGTTGGCTTACTTAAAGTGAAAGTGCAATACATGGCTACCAAACCTACTACTCTATACAATACGGAACGTTGGTCAACAAGAAGCAACATGTATGCAAAAGAGCAGTGTAGACTATAAGCAAAATTAAGGTTTTCTAGTAAGATTAGGTTGGAGAGTTAGAAATGAGAATATTCATCTCTAAGTAGGGATAGCTCCTACAAAGGAGAGGGTGGAACCATTTACAGTGGTTTGGTGATACTATCATCCTATAGCATTAAATTTAAGAGAATCTTCATGGAACAGTGAGCGGATTAAGTTTCCAAACAGAGAAGTAAAAAATTATCTAGCAAAATTAGAACATCAAACATCTCATGCAGTCACATTTGAATCAATTAGAAATGTTAAGTAAATAATCAAGTTAAGTATATACCATTTATTAATACCTCCAAATTACTAAACAAAAACAAAAAGCACAAACTCATTGCAATTTGAGCTTTAATAAAGCCCATTGTTAACAATAATAAATAAAAAGAACTTATAACATACCAAATGAACAAGAAGTTGGAGAAAAAGAAAAATGGAAGGACTACATGTACCTCACCACAAGTAATAAAGACAGATGATTAAAAGTTAAATATCTCTAAAAAAGATAAACAAGTTCAACCAGGATCTAATGGGTGGGGGTGTACGTGTGTACATAAGCAGCATATAGCAACATAGATAATAATCAACTAATGGTAAGAACAGGCACTGATAGAATGCTACTATAATTTACAAATATATCAACAATATTTGCTGATAGCAAGCTAATATAATCTCAAATATATCAACAAAATGATGGCCCGAGAAGCAGTGATTTATTCAGCATTGGAGCACACAAATAGTTAATGATGGATAATGAACATACAAAAGTATAGTTTTTACATATAAACAAAACAGGTTACAAGTCCTAAAACTTAAAAGTACATCTAGAACGCAAGCTACAAGAAAATAACACTAATGCTAACAGAGAGGCTTAGCAAAAGTGATCTATTAACTGAATATAAATTTATTGGAAGTATGTTCTCTCTTATAATCACAAGAACAGAAAAACATAATAAAATAAGGACAGTCAAGACCCAATACAGAAGATTGAGCCAGCAATAACAGAAATTATAGGAAATATAATAAATAGTTCAATATATAATATAACACGAAAAGGATATTCAAAATCGTGTAAACAATTGCATTTAGATGAGTTTTTGTCCACTGGAATTCTCTAAACAAACAATGCAACTGCCAATAACATTTCTCACAAATAATAGTCAAGCAAAATGTGTCTTAAAGTATTTAACGGTTGTCATTAATAAATAGGAATACTCATGCTAAAAGCATCAAGAAACATTCAGGAAATAGCTCAACTAGCAGGCAATCGTGAAAGTGAACACCGTGTTTCTTGATTATTAGGATTTCAAATTATTTTCTTGGAAATAGAAAAATAGCTTGAAAATCTAGTAGTTGACCATTTCTCGTACTTTAATTTCTAGGAAATAAATCACCAAAACCCAGAACAATGCAAAATTCAGAGTATTCCTTCCATGGTTTTGCAATTTTCTTAAAATGCACAGCTGGCATGTCACTATTTCAGGGAGTATTAAACCCAAAGGAAATCTCTCACATCTGCGCCATAGAAAATGAGGGTGCTGGTTTTACCATTCTGATATCTTTCTCTCCCCCCCCCAAACAGCTTTATGTTTCAGGAAAAGCTTCTCTCTTACAATTTTAAGTAACAAATTACAAATAATAACCAAAAGTACATTTTCTATCATTACTAAATTAATTTATTAAGGCACATATCTGTTTTTCTTCTTTAGAACCTTCAATTAAAATAGATTTACTTTTAATGATAATCACAAAAACTAGCAATAAAATAATAACAGACAAGTCCAGTAGGCATATATGTTATGAACTTAATACTTACATAAGGATAACAAACGAAACTAGCACAGGAACTTCACATGAAAAAATCTCAAAGCGCAGGAAGTTCACAATTCAGATATATGACGCTAGCTCCAAATTCTAATAACACACCTTTTTGAAGCCGGCTATTAATTTAATAGGAACCCAGCCCTGCTCATCCATGTTCTGCCTCAAGTAGGTGTCCTTAATTAGATTTTCATTACTGCAAAAAGAAACAAGCAGATAGCTTTGTGGGTGACCTCAAATACCAAGATATGGCTGCAGGATTAACTAAGTTGACCCAAGTCATCATGCAAACAAAGCAATCACCTGAAATAATAATCTATCTGATTGACTATACTAGCATGCAACTGATTGTCATGAGGCTCCGGAGCTGGGAAAAACACTGGGGGCATTGGTGCAACAAATGAAAAACCTCTAAGTGAATCTGGAGGAGCTGCTGGGACCATATAAAGGGATGCCATATCTAAAAGGAAGTAAAGAGATTATGGGCAAACTTAGAATGTCAGTCGACCCAAAAAAGCAATAACAATAGCGAAAATACATCTTACCAGAATACCCCATTGGGGTGCCAAAAGGCCTCATAGGAGTATGTGCAATAAAAGGTATAGTATTAGGCACAGGAGGTGGTGGTGGATGCCTCATTACCCTAGGGGCAGCCCTTGGTTGCATGTATGCATCTCTGTTATTAAAGTTTCTACCACTCCACTCATGACTTCCATGATCTTGATTGCGCCTGCCTCCAAAATTCTGATGGTGAGAACCATCTCCTCGTGGATGCGGACCACCATTACGATGCCTGTATGAATTCCGTGGGTGTGGGTGATCATTACCGCCAGTATGAGACTGTGATACAAATCCACTTCTCTGTACATGATTCCTAGAAGAGGGGCTATTAACAGGTGATTCAACCACAGGACCTTGAGGCAGAGACTGAGAGAGACCGCCATTGGATGCTGAGATATTACTATTACGTCTCATTGACTTCTGGCGTGTAGGAGTGATATGGTTTGGAGTCATATTCAAACTTGTGTTTGAATTGTTGCTGACTGGTTTCTGTGTCGGGGATGATAACACGCTTCCATTTCCCTACAATTTAGTAAACAAAGTGAAGCTCCTGTTAATACCAAACCCAAAACTAAAATTATATCATAGAAAATTTTGACCAAGTTAATCCCTAAATACTTCCTAAACTCATACAACATTCATTAAACAGTTTCCATCAAATATAATATAATTGAAATAAACCCTAAAGCTGGATTAAGAATTCAAGAATCCTTGCATTTTTTTTTGCCAATTCAAATTTTAGCAATTAATATCTTCCTTACCGAACAGATAACCAATCATCTCCGGTTAAAACAGCTAAATTTAGGTATTTTAACAGCTGGAAATAAAAATATTTGAAATTATAACGCTTAATCAGAATCTAATAAAGAAGGGCTTAAATTTTAGGAAAACAAACCTGAGAAACTGGAGCATCGGAAGGAGAAGACGATGATCCATCCGACAAAGCTCGGGGTGAATCAGAAGAGGATTTGGAAGGAACCTTAGCGGACTCAGACAAAGCAGGCCACTTGTTGGTCCCCATAACCGGCCCAACCTTGGCATCGGCGTTAGAAGGTTTGTTCCATGCTGTCTTCTTACCGGCATTGCCATTAGGCCCAGCGTTCTCACTCTCGACACCTTCCTCTTCGTCCTCCGTCCCCACAGGAGGTTCGGTCAGGGCGGTTGATGGCGGCGATGACGAAGAGGATGAAGGCGTTAATGAAATACCCGCGATCGGGTCGTTTTCTCCACGGAACATTTCAGTCCAGGGCGAAGAAGCCGCCTTCATGGCACGATTCGATTGGTTAGGGCTATTGGGAGAGAGATTACCAGGTATCACTGCAGCGGTGGTATTGAAATTAGCAGTATTAGTATTCGCAGCCATAGAAAACTCCGATTAAAACAAAATTCGCGATTTCCTTTTTTTCCTCTATCTACGAGTTGATAGACGCAGAAAATCACTGGGAAAAAAAAGAACAAAATTTTGATTAAAAAATAAACAAAATCCGCGACGAGAAAGAGTGAGAGCTAAACTATTCGAGGCTCCAAAAACCGCAAAGGATTTTTTCAACAAAAAAAATTAGGGATTCGAAAATCCGATCGATGAAGAGAGACGAAGATTAAAGAAGAAGAGCAGCGATGGAAGCGCTGTAACCTCTGCTTCTCTCTTTCTTTCTATTTTTCCTCTTCTTTTTTTTTTTTTTTTTTTGCCTTTCTAAATATTTTTGTTTTGAGTTTTTATTTTTATTTCAATATATTTCGTCCAGCTCCTTGCTTGTTATATTGTTACGATTTTTCTAACTAATTATTCCAGGGTTGTTTTGGTCAATTCATACTTGAAGAAGAGTAACTTTTTTCACCGCTGTAAAAACTAATTTTGAGTTTTTCACTTGCTTTGATTCGTAGTAAAATTCAGTAACGCAGGGTTTGAAAACCTCTTAACTAACAATTTAATTGAAAATTATAAAAAAATTAATTATGATTATTATCACAAAGCTAATTTCATTATATTTATTTAATAAAATTTTAAAATAATTGAAGATGCCTAATTTCGTCCATGCCCATTATATTTATTTACATTGTGACAGGCCTGAACCTATGGCCCAGAATCATTCCAAGGCTACCCAGACACAAACAAATCCTAATGGCCCAATGCATCAGTAGCCCGTCTAACAACCTGAACCGGGTTCACTCGTGCCCGACCCGAGCCAACAAGCTAGGGATTCCATAACCCTAGTCTTCTCTCTTGCGCCGCAACAATCCATCAAAGGACCCTCCTTTCACGCGGCTACACCGAATCCTCCGACGCCAGGAAAGCACACCAAACTGAAAATAAAACAGCGTCGTGTGTTAGTGGGATTCATCAACACCAACAAACCGAGTTTTACTCGGAATCAAATGGACTAAAATATGACTTTTTTTACTATAAATAAATCACTAGCAACACACATAGGGGAGCGGAAATTACACGAAAAAATAACGAGGAAAATACACGAGAAAATACGAGAGATTACATATGAAATACGGAAAAAACAGAGGAAACTGAAAAAAGAAGAGATTGAAATCTATTTCGGGTTCTAAAATAAAAAAGATCGAAAGAACCTTACTTGAGGGGGGATAGCTCTCGATTTCCTTCTCCAAAGTCAAGCGGACCGTACGTTCTCAAAGGTGATGCTCTAAGCCCTTGGTTTTCTTGATTTTTGCTTTAGTTTAAAAGAGAGAAGTTGAGAGGGGGATGAAGAGCGGTAGAAAAGAGAAGAAAGGGAAGTGATATTAGGTTTTCCCTAAAAACTTATAATGGGGTATTTAAATATGTTTTAAATGCTGTGTTTTGGGTGTTTTAGGGTTTCAAAAATCATTGTAAGGAGTTTATTTATGCGAGAAAAGCTTGGTCTTTGTGATATTTTTACTTTGGTCTTCACTTATATTTTACACTATTCAGTTTTGAGCCTCTTATTTTCTTACTGTTTCGTTTTAGTCCCTTATGTTTATTGTTATAGTCATTTTAGTATTTATATATTTTTTTGACTGGTGGTTTTACGTAATATCTAGCTTACGTCCTTGTAGTACTGCAATGGTTGTAATCGGGTCATCCTAGTTAATTAATTATTTTTTACTTATTTATTTTGGGTTTTGTATATGTTCCATATTTCATTTTAATCATATTTCATTTTAATCATATTTATATTAATGATTTTAATTATTAATTTTGTGCACTATTGCTACTGTTAGGAATGTGATTTTAATCCCTTTAGTCAAAACTTTTACTGTTGAAATAATTTATGCATTATTTTGTTGAAATTTAACGAAAATGGAATCCAATGGTGCTATTAAGTGGTTCCTACCTATATTACATTTAAAATTATGTTTAAGCAACAATTATTTTTTCTTTCATTTTAAATTAACATTTTTTATTTCTTTTTATTATTCATTTATTTATTTGTTTATGGTTTTCCTTTAAAATTTAGATTTTTTTAAATTTTTGTTTCAAATCGTTTCCCCCTCTTTTATATAATATTTATTTATTTATTTATTTATTTTGATTTATTTAATATTCGTTTATTATTTCTTATCTAACATTTTGACTTTTTAAGGTAATTTCATTCGATCAAGGGTAAGTAATTCGAATTGGATATTTTTTAAAATTAAATTTAAATTTTTAATTTTCACAATTAAAGACAATTGATAAATTAATTGGTACCGAAAGGGCGGTTCAAGGGTGCTAATCCTTCCTTGACTGTAACCGACTCCCGAATCTGACACGTTTCTGGTACAATGCAGATCAGGTAAGATGGTGTCCGACCCACCTAAATTCGATTTAAAGTGGTCGGTGGCGACTCCAACCCAATCAATTCAAGTCGAAGCCCAATTCCGGGCCCCACTAAAAGACGGTTCCGACAGCTTGGCGACTCCATTGGGGATAGGTAAGTGAGTCAGGCCGAAATTAATTTCCGGTTGTCTTTTTTAGCGAAAATTACAAGTTTAAATTTTAATTTATTTATTCGATTCTTATTATTTATCTTTGATTATTTTTTTCAAATAAATAGTTGTATTAACGTTTTTTAATGATTTCAGATATTTTTCAAAATTGTCATCTCTAGCTCTATACCCAAGCTCCAAACCCTTTTAAGTGGGGGCAAAAGTGACGTCTTCGTGTGAATTTATTCACCGTATGGGCCTAGCAAGTAACCTTCGGGATTCATATACCTTATGCCTTCGTGTGAATTTATTATTCGTATGGGCATAAGGGAATGTTTCCTCTCGAGTTTAACTTAGTCCACATAAGCTTGTAATAGGCTTAGGACTAAGGGTCTGACAAGCCCATAAGGGCACCGACAAGGAGAACTCGAGTACCTTTTTTAGAACCTAAACCGGGAGAGTATAGGGAATTAGAGCCCACCCCAAAACCTCATTCCAAACCCTAGGTTGTTTTGTTTCCTGCTTTATTTTCTGTTCAAAGCATGCGAATTAGACAAATATGATGTTAGGATTTGTTTGAAATTAGCATGCGGGATAGAAATCATGTTCGGGTAGGAATATTAAGCATGTTCGGGTAGATATCATGTGGGGTAGGACTTTTATTTTTCATGATTATTTTTTATTATTTTTACCTCACTAACTCTTTTTTTTCTCTTTCATTTTATTTTCATCACTTGCATCATTTAAAACAGGTGTTGATCCACCAAAAGCGTGTTTGCTAAACATGAATAATCTGCATTAATGGACAAAAGGGTTGTAATACAAGAGATGAAAATGCAGAGGACAGTCTACAAGGAGGCTATGTGTCACATTTAATCCAGAAGACGTGGTGCCCGCAATTGAAGAGTATATCACTATACTGCATTATAAAGTGCTCAATGAACTGGGTCTACATCAAGCACAATGAAAGTCTATCTTTGAAGAACGGACTGACAGAAGTTTCAGGGGCAAGATGAATACCACTGATCTTAGGAGTCACTTCAAAGACGACAATGACAAAATGATAACTGAAATTGGAGACCATTGCTGACAAATTCAAGAAATAGACAAATGGACTTCACATAGTTCCTATCAATTAAGGGCTCCAATGACGTATTAGTTGGGAACAAGCTCAACAAAAGATAAATGCCGGAGGTGCAGTCCTTCGAGACTTTTTTTTGGGCAAACAACTCGTCATTTGCACGGTTCATCCAGAGAAGCCAGTGCGGTTCGACAGGTTATTCAACCGGTGACGGATGAAGGCGGAAGACTAGTCAACATGTCAGAAGCTGTCAAAATATTTTTGTCTCTTAAAAGATAAAACACTTTTGTCACTAATAAGGATTATTTATAATAACAGACACATTTTTGGATCAATGCCTAAGATATTTCATGCATCATGCATCATGTATTTAGACATTTGGCATTTTGTTATTTTCTTTGCATTCACATTAACTAACATATACATTTTTCATCAAAAGGAGCAAATACTGGATACACCACCTCAAGCATTAGACACACCTCATCCACATAACACCCGCCTGAAAAAGAAGAAGATGGAAGCAAGAATTGAGAAAATCGAGGAGAACATGGCCAAATTGCAGAAAGAACTTGAAGATACGATAAACCAGAGTAGTCTGAGTACTCTGAATACAATTATGAAAAATCAAGAGTCCTTGGTCGATCAAATTATGGCCAAGTTGTCTGGTCTACATCAGACCAGTGCACCTGGGGCAGGTTCACCGGAAGGGGTAACTATACCACCTACCCCTCAAGTGGTTGTCTCACCTGAAATCTTACCAGAACTTCGAGGGGACTCATCTGCTGCAAAAACGAAGCCCTCGTCCTCTGTATTTAACCCTGAGAACAATCCGGGTTATTACCATGTACCGGATTTGGACGAAGAGGACAAAGCGAGGAAGATGAAGGAAAAAATCAAACAATTGGAGGACCAAATGAAGATAGTTAAAAGAGACCATGACTACCCTGGAATTGATGTTGTAGAACTCAGTCTAGTCCCAGACTTAATTCTTCCTTCAAAATTTAAGTACCCGAAATTCGAGAAGTTTGACGAGAACAGTTATTCATCCGCTCACATCACCATGTTCTGCCGAAAGATGACAGGATATGGAGGAAACGACCAACTCCTGATCCATTGCTTTCAGGAGAGTCTGTCGGGCTCAGCCATTCGGTGATACAACCAGCTAAGTCGATCAAATATCAAGAACTGGAAGGACCTAGCCAAGTTATTTCTGGAACAATACAAGCATATCAATGACATAAGGCCAGATCGAGTTATGCTACAAAGCATGGAAAAGAAGCATAATGAAAGTTTCAGGCAATACACACAAAAATGGAGGGACTTGGCTGTGCAAGTTCATCCACCGTTGGATGAAAAAGAAACCCGAAAGCTCTTCTTACAGACCC